ACGGTGCGAAGGAAAACGCATCGACATCAAATAACCCACGTTACGGTCGTCCACAGTGAGGAACGATAAGGACAAGGAAATGGAGGGTACGAAGGAAAACACATTGTGAACAAATAACCCGCCCACCGTGAAATAGAACTGTATTGGCTGCAGTACCTATGAAGAAGTTGAAGCGCAAGGAAGATGTCAACTTCGAGACTGTGTGGAACACAGAGATTGGTTGTGTGTTGTCTGGTCCAGTGTCTGCCCCTGGTCGAAGCAGTAAGCCTGTGATCGTGTCATGTGTGACAGCCCATAGCGGAAAGCTTGGAGAAATCGTGTTGGCCGAAGTGGTGAGCAGTAGTGATATTCCATCTTAGCCACCCCCTCAGCAGCGGATGACTCATTCTGGGTGTGAAGTCAGAGTCCCAGATCGCGTTTGACTTGTGAGTTGTTGTACGGTGGTGAGAAGCCCTTTGGTGGGGAGAATGTTATGAAACCACAAGTTCTCGAGAGTGAAAGGCCTTCTCGCTTGTGACATTGTGTTCGTTTCAATGCAGTTGTATCTCGACTCCGCCGTACCGCTGATGATTACGACGTAGTGTACGCTACATGCGCTATGTGCAATTTGCTATGTGCGCTGTAGTTGTATGTTGTATGTGTATGCTTTTCTGATATACGCTGTCATTTCACGCTATAACTACCTGATGGTTTTAGAGTTTGTTTTTTAGATTCAATAGAAGTCAAAATATACTGTTGAGAATAAATAGTTGGCCTCGTGCCATGTGGTCGTTCGCTCCTGATACATATTTAAAGAGAACCAGAGGGTTCACAACACCAAGTTAGGAGACCTCTCCCAGCCAACAAATTACCGGCCCATCTCTCTGCTCAGAATAACCTCAAAAATACAAGAAAAATTGCTCACTCTCCCCTCTACAAACACATCTCACCGCACTTACCTTTAACCAATCCAGATTCAGAGAGAAAGACGGCACGGAGCTGCAAATTGCTCGACTGGTGCATGAAATTTCGGAGGCTCGTGACTCGGAAAGTATTGCAGCTTGCTTTTTTGACCTGAGCAAAGCCTTTGACCGAGTATGGTGTTAGGGCCTGAAGGCCCAACTCAAGCACTGCGGTGTCCAGGAAGCAGCACTGCGATGGTTCTCGGAGTATCTGATTGGGCGTAGGCAGCGAGTGCGAGTTGAGGGCACAGCATCAGCCTTCCTCCCCATCCCGGCTGGAGTGCTTCAGGGCTCTGAAGTCCTGGGACTACTGCTGTTTCTGGTGTACACCATCGACCTGCCTGCCGCTTGCGTGAACGCCAGCACCAGGTGCAGCCAGTTTGCTGACGACACAGCCCTCGTCTGCTCCAGCGGCTCTGCCGCACACTGCGAACTGCAACTGCAGAGCAGCGTGTCAGCCGCCGCTGGATGGTTGGAGCGCTGGCACCTCCTAATCAACACTTCATAAACGGTAGTCCTCACCTTCTACAACGGAAATCGCCTCCTTCGCTATCTCCCACGCATCGAGCTCAACAATGCACATCTCATAAATGTCCTGCAACATCGCTACCTCGGCATCATCTTTCAGCACGACCTAAGATGGTCAGCCCACCTTGACTTTGTGCTGAAGAAAGCCGTACATTTTTGTAATATTCTCTTTAGGCTTAAATCAACTCTACACACTAAATCGCTCTCTCTCATTTACAAAACATATATCCTGCCTATAATTGAATATGCATGCATTGCTGTCACCCCCCTCTCAATCACAGCCCTTGAGGGAATCTAGAATCTGCCTCTGTCTTCCCCTATACACCCCTCTGAATCATCCGACACCGCTCCATCGGCTCAAATGGCCGGCAATGTTCTCTCGACGCAAAGTGAAGCTCAGCCTTCTTGCCCACTGCTGATTAACTCAATCTGCTCCTGCAGCGCTCACCCTCTCCCATAATTGTAAAATTAAGATTGATGTAAACTACATTCCAACTGCATAACCCACAATCTCACCTTCTCATAAATTTATCTCTTATTGGTGATGGTACCATCATGAGAATAAAGAATTCAACAACAAAAACGAAAACTGTGTCAGTTTCGAGCAAGTAAGTGTTAGTTTTTTTCATTTGACTCTTGAGGTCCTGTCGGAAATGTCTTCACGCGCATGGCTTCCGTGAAGAATCTGTTCGGGATCAACCAAACTTACATCGACATGAATGTGGGTTGCCGATGACAGCCTTTGGCGCTGTTCTATGAGTAGGTTGTTGCAAAAAACACAGTTGGAAAAATGTTACGAATTTTTGTATTATGTCGCAGTAATGTAGTTAGTGTGTGTTAGCATCCACTGATCACAATGCCATGTTTGCATTTGCCAAGCACCGCTGCGTCAGTGCTTTGCGCACTGCACTCACACTGCCAGAGCACAGATTTGGGCGCGCTTAGCTTGACATCGCGAAACTGCTTCCTTGGAACTTTTGCTCACTGCACTCACACTGCCAGCGCCTGACGTCGCTCAACTGCTTCCTTTGAACTTTCTCTTTCTTTCTTGCCGTTGGTTTCACTTCAAAGTCTAATTAGTGGTGACTTTTAACTTGTGCCAGCATCAAATTTTCACCCTCCATCTCTCCCATCTTATCCCCTTGCTAATGGTACTAGGGAACATTTAGCTCTACCGTTCCTAACTGGTCATTTGCTTCGCTAGTTGCGGCTCTTCACGAACCAGTTGTTGCCAATTGCATTGCTTTGCCTTGTTTATTGCGGCTCCTCGCAAGCCAGTTGCTGCCAGTGGCCTGGCATTCTTTCCAGCTCTTTGAGGTTTTGTATTGCAAGACCAGTTACTCGAAGCAGCATACTATTTCCAAAACAATTCCTTGTTGGCTTGGGCTGAGTATGAGTGTGTGAGGGATATGGTGTTAACAGAGGAAGTACTTAGAACCTTCCAAGTTGGAAGGCTGTTGGTGTGCGCATCCAATATGTGCTAGAGCTGATTTGAAGTTAGTTGTGGAACGCCAGTGCCGTTCGCCAGTCTAGTGCAGTGTTATCGATTGTTTCTTTGATATAGGAATACTTAATTTCTGCAAGGCGATTGCGCAATCATGAAAATCAGAGGTACAGGAATACAACTCAAGTTGTTCCACATTATTACAACTCCAGTTGTTCCACATTATTACAACTCAAGTTGTTCCACATTATTACAACTCAAGTTGTTCCACATTATTACAACTCAAGTTGTTCCACATTATTACAACTCAAGTTGTTCCACATTATTACAACTCAAGTTGTTCCACATTATTACAACTCAAGTTGTTCCACATTATTACAACTCAAGTTGTTCCACATTATTACAACTCAAGTTGTTCCACATCATTACAACTCAAGTTGTTCCACATTATTACAACTCAAGTTGTTCCACATTATTACAACTCAAGTTGTTCCACATTATGACAACTCAAGTTGTTCCACATTATTACAACTCAAGTTGTTCCATCAGCACAACAACCATCAAGTCTCTACTTTCCAACACGACAGCCAGGATCAAGCTGAGTGGCTCCCTGAGTCCCCCTTTCCCAACTAACATCGGAGTGGTCCAGGGAGACCCGATGTCCCCTATTATGTTCATAACATATGCAGAAGGCACAATGCGCAAGATCAGGGAAAGATGCACAATTCACTCACCAATGCCTGCTCCAACAACGCAGTACACTGACGATACTACTCTGCATAACCGAAATGACGATGAGGCGAAGGCTCTTGTTGCTGAGTGTGAACCTATATTTAACGAAGACAACCTCAAGCTCAATACACAGAAAACTGAATATGTTGATGTTACAAGAAACAGCAACGAATGGAGATCAATCAAACTCCTGGGTTCTCTATTGGGCTCTGCAGAAGACGTGGACATGAGAATCTCAAAAGCAAACAGGGCGTTTGGTTCGATTTCTTGGAGACGGCATTCCTTTCAATCCCGACTGTGTATGTTTAACTGCCTCATAATGCCGATCCTTCTATACAATTGCGGATTGTGGACTCTGTCCAAATTGCTGAACGACAAACTGGACAAATGGCAACGGAGGAAGCTACGCGTACTGCTGCAGATTGTCTACCCGCAACGCATCACCAATAACAACTTATACACAGAAACAAAACAATCTCCAGTTAGTGCCACATGTCGGCAACGCAGGCTGCTGTGGTTTGGCCATGTGGTGCGAGAGGGTCCGGAATCCGCCTCGTTCCAAGCACTGGAGCTATCAATCAACACAAACGACATAAACAAAAAAACCCGTGGGCGTCCGCCATTGCGGTGGATAGATACGATTCGGCACGACCTGAAGGCAGCGGATCTCTCCGTGGAGAGCGCTCTCCAAGCTGCAGGAGATAGACTAACTTGGCTTGACACTGTTGACAGATGCGTCGACTCTGCTCCTGTCTAACAGGTTCAGGGAAGATGCGAGCTGTGTTTATTAAGTTGTTCCACATTATTACAACTCAAGTTGTTCCACATTATTACAACTCAAGTTGTTCCACATTATTACAACTCAAGTTGTTCCACATTATTACAACTCAAGTTGTTCCACATTATTACAACTCAAGTTGTTCCACATTATGACAACTCAAGTTGTTCCACATTATTACAACTCGAGTTGTTCCACATTATGACAACTCAAGTTGTTCCACATTATTACAACTCAAGTTGTTCCACATTATTACAACTCAAGTTGTTCCACATTATTACAACTCAAGTTGTTCCACATTATTACAACTCAAGTTGTTCCACATTATGACAACTCAAGTTGTTCCACATTATTACAACTCAAGTTGTTCCACATTATTACAACTCAAGTTGTTCCACATTATTACAACTCAAGTTGTTCCACATTATGACAACTCAAGTTGTTCCACATTATTACAACTCAAGTTGTTCCACATTATTTGCATGGTATGGTTTATATTTGCATGTCAGCAGCGTCGTCTTGTAAATTAATTCCAAAAGAAATTAATTTGCCTCTTTGTTATGGTATGTTTGTGCAGAAGCATACATGGCAATTCCAGGCTAATAGTATTGCCACCAGATATCTTTCAAAACAACACTAACTTGGAGCTTTTGTAAGTAACCTGCACTTCGACCTGATTGTGACAA